TCCTGCGCCGGTTACACGTGTGCCCGGCTCCCCGGGGCGAAAGAGTATTGCCCCTGGGCCGGGAATACCTTCCCAAGGGGGATTCAGCCCCGCTGCCCGCGCCGGGGTCACCCCCCAGCAGCACCTCGATATTTCATCCTGTGCGCGATGAAAATACTCGACATTTTCATTTCTAATCGCTATTAAACCGCAGATTTTCCTCTCTGTTTAACCGCTGCCCAGCCTCCTTATTTTAGCAGGGACCGTGTCTTACAGCATCCACTTCAGCGAGATTTTGGGGAGCCGAGCCTGGGGGAATCTCCCCCTGACAGCTCCAGCTTTGCAGACGGGATCGTTGAAACTGTAATCCCGAGGATTATTTATGAATATTGTTTTGCAAATCTCACCGAAGTAAAAACTTCTGCCAAAGCCTGCGGGAACCGTGCCCGGGTGCCGGCAGCCTCTGGCCAAGGGGCTGGAGCGGGGGGGCATTGATTAATCGCCGCTGGGAAAGTCGTTTGCGCGCTGCAGAGAAATGAAGCGGAGGGGATTTTGCATGTGAAGGAATGAGGTTTCCTCCCCGCAGAAAGTCTTTTTAAGGAGTCTCCGACTTGGCGCTTTCCTCGGGGCGGGTGTTTGGTGCAGGCTCCGGTACCGAGGGACCGGACCGCCTTTGTGCTCTGGCTTTCCACCCGCAGTGCCGTGGCACCCATTCTGCAGCACCTTCCTCTCCGCGGGTGATGATCCCTTCTCCTTAAAAGAGAAAAAAAAAACCCCAAACAAACCAAAAAAACCCAAAAGAAGGGGGTGGTTTGCCAACTCCGTGCCCGGCGTGGTCCGGAGCCGGCGGGGCTGGGCTGCGGGGTGCGCTGGGAGCGCATCCTCCCCAAACGCTGCCCCGGCATCGCCTCCGCCCTCGGGTTTGGAGGGTTTTGCGGTCGGGAGGATTTCTGAGGCCACCCGCGAGTTTGTTTCGTTTCCGTCGTTATTTCTTTCTTTTCCGTCGGGGAGAGATAGGGACGGAAAGTCGGACCCGCTGCTCATAAATAAATCACGGTAACGGCGGCCGCGCTGCTGGCGGGCGGCGTGGGGACAGACCTCGGCACACCTTGTCAGGCCGTCACTCGAGGGCCCCGGCGCGTGGGAGGGGGCTGGGGGGGGGGGGGG